ATTGTACTGAGGTAGATACCTGTCTCTACCCAACACAGGTTAACTCCATTGGTCACAGTTTCTCAATAGAACTCCGAGAATTCTCTTACGAAGCCAGTAACTAGTGAGCACATGGTATTTATCAATACATAGTTGTGGAGATTATTGAGTTTTTGACTGCGATCATGAACTGATTGATGTTTGAACACCATACGACATAATGGCCGTTCAGTGCTTACAGGTTTTTAATCGTGGTCTAACATCAATCGGTTCATGATCTTAATCAAAAGCTTGATAATCTCCACAACCCTATACTGATAATTTGTGACATCATGATGTTTATTAGATAAATAAGACATTACATGACTAATTCATCAAATAAAGATTTATATGATTGGCTTCAAGTTTTAATCTAAATGTAGGGGTTAGTGTAGTATCACTCGGTTACCTTAAACCAAAGGGTTATTCAAACATGTGAGTTGGTAGATGTCATTCAAATGTATCAATAATTGTTTGTACTCAGTAAAAGATGAATAGGTCTTTCCTGACAGTGGCCGTATACGTGTGGCCATGTGAGAGTATTACACGAGAGAGTTGACTCTCTTTGAAGAGTCTACTCGAAGCAATATCGAAGTAATAATTCAAAGCTAACAATCATAGACAAATTACAAGTATTTAAGAGACATAAATTTAAAATTCTCATTGTCTTATGTAAAAGTAACTACAGTGAACAGTCAATAAATTAGTAACCGATGTAAAGATGCCTTAATAACTGGATTTTATTTATTATGTTCCCAATGTAACAACCATAGAGTAAACCTGAAAGAGACTGTTTTAAGTATTTCAACAAGAGGTTAAATAACAAAAAAAACAACACATGAACCACTTTAGTGCAAAACAGATCAATCTCAAGTTCTATTTAGTCAGAAAAATCATTAATATATAGTTGAGAAAACTGAATCAGAGAAACAATCTGTGATAATTATCAGAAAGGGGGGTTTTGTGCAAATTGTAATAATTGAGTAGTTGAATTCATGATATCGGCTCATTTGTCTAAAATTTAGGCGTTCGCGTGCGAGACGGAAGGTTTTTGGGTTCGAGTTCCGAAGGCGGAGTCGTCAATGTGCACTGCTGGGGAGTCCCATACAAGGACGAAACGGCCGTTCAGACTTTCCATGGTGATCTACCTCTGATCGATCCATGAATTCAACTATTAAATCTTTGATAAAAAGGAACTTTTAATGGCATTATACCAATAAAATCATTTTTACTGAATGAATTAATTGTTATGTGAAAAAGCCACACTGAAATTAGCATTTTTATGAAAAAAGTTCAAAATTTTGGCAAAGCAGAAAACGTGAAAAACTGTTCCACAAAAGTGTACATAGCTGGACAAGTGTAAAATTGTTGAAACACTTGAAATAACAGAGAACTTTAAGCAAATATCACGAATGATGAAAGGAGGCAACGAAAAAAAAACTTGTATTAGGATTCTGTGCTTGGTTATACTCATCAGTAGGGTTTTGTTTACAATACTGAGGGAACGAATGTCTTCTGTAAAAATTAGAACTTTTATTATTATTTAAATACATGAACACTGGTGCAAGGAGGCACCAAATAAATATGCGCTGGAATAATACCCGGGTCCCCAAATTGAAGCAGGTGATTTTCTTATAGGGTCACTTCTTTGACTCACCACTTTGACCCAAAGGTCTAATCCACAAGGCAGCGAAGCAACGTTAGTAGATGCGATCCTACGGTAGCCGGTCATCAACAATAGATTCATACGCGATCTGTTCCTCTAGGATCCTGGAACCCGTGAGAACAATCGGTTTGAAATCAAAGTTTTCCAACTCCCCTAGGTGGATCCACCGACGCGGTTAAAGCGCCAGACATTCGCTTTTCATCTCAATCTCGTAAAAAACACCCTCGACGTGAGGACCTCCCTGGAAGTGGTTGTACATACATGGCCATGTGAGAACATTTAGAGTGGGAGAACCGACTCTCCTCACTTTCAGTTGTACCAGAGCATTTGTAGGCGACCATTATGTGAGATCACCTATTGCTACAGTTGGAGATATCACCACTGAGTAATTAACACCAAGACAGATCATCTGTATGACAGAGGTATTTATAATAAAATACATGATATACTTGGTGTTAAGCGTTAAAATCGATCGGAAAAAGTATGACACAATATGATTGGAAAACCATAGGACTAAAGTTCCTATATTTGTTTGCTATTATTAATTTATATCATTATTATGTTTGAAACAGTTTCCATGCACAATATGGATCACATAAAAAGATCCAATTAACTATAATGATTCTTTATTATTCCCATTTGGAACGTTAATTCATTAAAATGTATAACCAATAAATACATAGATTTAATAAATCTATATCTATACTTTAAGTATCCCATGCATCACACACATCAACCAAATAGGATATAAGCAAACAAATAAAGAACTTCTAAAGGTAACATACATATAACTAGTATCAGAAGGGGTTTTGTGGATATTATATTCATTTTAATGGTTGAGATTATGAGTCAATCGAAGCTAGATCACCATAGAAAACCTGAAAGTGTGGTGTGGGTTACTTATATCCACATAGGTAGTATATAACTGTGGTCAGGCATAGATTGTATTTCAGTAGGAAATAGATAGAAAAAGAACAAGAGCGGAACATAATTAATACGAAATGTATAAACAATGAAACTTAAGACAATTGAGTGATATTTGCAAACGGAACAGTGATGGATTGATATTTTGCAAATTAACGATTTACTATATGGTTCTCAGATTTTAATGAGATGCTCTGGAATTTAGTGATCAATTACATTTGATTATCCCTACTCGTGTTTTTATTCCCTATAGAAGCACTGGATGACCATTTCATCCTATTGTGGAACTCCTCAACAGTACGTATCCACAATCCCGCTTTGCGAGATTTAAACCCATGATCTATCAGTCTTACACGCGAGTGCTTTGTTAAAATAAAAAAAAATTAGTCAAATCACATGCTTTAAGAAAAACGAAGGAAGAGAAAACTGTAGATAAGAATAAAACATTAAAATAGACAGCAAATAATCATCAAACAATATCATAACATTCATGTATAAACAACAATAATGATCAATAAGCATAAAGGATGAAAAAAGCATTAAACAATTAAATATTAAATAGAATAAACAATTACAATCAGCTGATTGGGATGCATGGAAACAAAACAAACACAGTATTAATAGATAATATTACCACAATCAAGTTCCGATTGTAATGGAGCTTCGAACCAGGAATCATCTTTAAGTGTATATATATATATATATATAGAAGAATTAAAAATATAATGAACAACAACAACAACAACAAACTAAAGAAAAACAAACAGTCAAGTTTAGTTATATTCACTAATGTTCATAAGTAAATTAGTTATATTCAATTATCTTGGTTATGTAATTCTATTTTTATATTATAAAATGGATTGATTCATTTATCTATCCAGTACAGATTAATACATTTATCTTTAAGTTATAATCTAGTTATGTGTATCATGTTGATACCATGCAGTTTCTCAAATTGAACCACATGAAGTTGAATTCAAACTAGCCAGTTGAGTGTTATTATTTCGTTTTTGATTATCAGAATGACAAATGTAACATAAAAAACAGTAGGATGAAGGGTAGACTGATATTGTAATGCTTAGTGTACCTTAATTGATAGTTGGAAAAAACACATGAAGGTGGGATTATTAAAATTAATCGATTGTTAACTAGATTGATATAATTGAGTTAACTTAATACAGCTAATCATTTATTCTGTAAAGCAAAAGACCCATGTCAAGAAATGTCAGAGATTCTAGTTTCTATTAACTCTGCCTGGAGCCCCTCATTGCAGCCGGTGACCAACGATTGATTCATACGCCATTTGGTCCTTTAGGACCCTCGAGCCCATGTGTACTATTGATTTGGAATCAGGATTTTCCTACTCCCCTACATGAACCCTTCATATCGACTAACCCGGTTAAAGCACCGGACATTCGCTTTTTTGCGCTTTCAATTTCGTAGACAACACCCCATTCGCGAGAAGGCAGTGAATAAGACCTCCCTGGCAGTGGTTATATGCATGTGGATATGTGAGAAAAGACTCTCTCCACCTTCGGTCGTACCAGGACATTTGAGTGTGAAATGTCTATTAGAGATGAGGTGGTCCATGATTAAATGAATCACACGAAAGTTAAAACAAATCAGTAAATTTTTTAAAATATTGTAGAACTTTTAATTAGGAATATTAGAATCACCTAACTTTATTCAACAGGTAATTTCAACATATCCATGCTTTATTCATCAAAGATAGATACCAAACAGGGTACTATTGGGAACTAAAGAATACTAGAAACCTAGTTCTTCCTAATGTGAAAGTCTTTCAGTAGTGAGTATTGAGATCAATTAGTCACAAATATAACCTATGGATGAAAGTAATCTCAGACAAGTCCATCACATACCTTAAACATTAATAAAGTGTCAATGAGATTTATTTGACCAAGTTATATTACTAATGAGTAACCAATGTGTTAACGCTTAGTTTGTTTGCTCATATTCCAATTAGATAAGAAAGTATGATAATTCAACGATGGGATCACAAAAAAATAGACACCTTCATTGAATCATCATTTCTTGATAACTGTTTAAATGAGAATTTCCTGCTTTTTTATTTTATCAGTTGCTTAAACGCTATACACTCTGACACTGGATAACAGAATTAGAACTATCCATTAGATCATATTTCACCATATCTAGTGACTAGATTCGAGAGGTGAGAAGCCGTGACCAGTGGAGCTAATCTTTGTCGGTTTTGAGCCAGTTACCCACTGAAGATATCTATAATTAACAGTTTGTTGATGGTTACATCACACCGAATTTAAACTGGGAGCTTCAAGTGATTTAAAGTCATTATTATACACTACCATATGTATCAAGAAGTCATGACAGAAATCTTGAATTTATTCGTCTAGGAGTGAAGTGTTCAACTGAATCTGACAACGTTAATGTAATTTCATAGAAAATTAAACCATTAAAATCTATCCATGATAGTGTAATTAACTATTTTGTAATGCTATGATTCTATTGGCCTCTTCATGAGTATGTTCAAAAACATTCTATGTTAATATCTTCCACATATATCTGTGTATATTAGTGAAGGTGCAACAGTCATGAGGTATTCCTATAGCAATTATATTTCAATAGCCCCTACATCCTTGCGTTTTAAACAGTTTAATTAGTTTGTAACTTTATGTCTATCATAAGGAATTCAGAATATTTCACTTTTGTAACGGTGAATTTGTAAATATAGGAACAATGTATTAAATACACTATTTGCTCATCATCCTTGAATTATTCCTAACAAACTAAATCGTTCTTTCATTTCTGTTGATATTTCAATTCCCTTCTGTTTTCCTTTCTATTCTCTTTGTTTTCTTCTTCTTTCATAAAGAATTCTACTTCATATGCTTGATACATACTACTGATATCTATCCATATAAGTAACACACACTGCATATTACTATTAAAATATCACAAAGAAGGTTGCTTAACCTTCATCGATTTCTATTCAGTAATCAAACGTAACTTTTTGACATATATCCATATAAGACTAGAGTAACAAACTGTCCAAACCTAAATTTCACTAATTTATGGTTTATGTGTGATTGAACAGTAATTCCTAGCTCATGGTATTGAAATTAATCAGTAGTAGAAAAGATTAGGTATAAGTAATATAATTATAAAAAAAGAAAGAATAAATCGGGATGGAGTTTTGTTCTTTTAGCGGGATAGTTTAATCGTGGAGCTCTCATAGTTCTTCTGAACAAAAGAATAAATCCACTGGATTATTTATTTATTTTAACACATAGGTATAAGTACAGGGAGGCACCAAGTACATATGTGCCACACGAATCTCAATTGATTTGTGTGAGGGTGTGATACTGCTCGGGTGCCCAAACCGAAGCAGGTGGTTTTCTTAGGGGGCCACACCCCGAGCCTTTGACCTGAAAGTCTGACCCACAAGGCAGTGGAGCATCGTAAGGAGATGCAGTCTCATGGTAGTCGGTGACCAACGATTGGTTCATACGCCATTTGTTCCTTCAGGCAGGATACTGGAGCCCATGTTCACCATTGGTTTGAGGTCCGGTTAAAGAGCCGGACATTCGCTGGATATAAAATATGAGATAAGTTCAAAACTCAAGATATAAGAAGAGATGAATAATGAAAGCCACTTAATGCCTTCCAAATTTTCTGGCAACAGTTATTAATAGACAACCTTATTTTTTGTTGAAAAAAAAAACCCACAACCACCACCACTACCTACCTTGTGTTCCAAGCATAGTGGCTTTTACAGTGGACAAGATTTTCAATTGGTTCCCAATAGTGAGAATACGATCACTTAAATGTAAAAGATTCTAAAAACAATAAAAAACAACGACAAAATAAACGTACATTATTATTTATTTAAACACATAAACATTGGTACAAGGAGACACCAAATTGGTATATGCCATATAAATTATTCGATTTGTGTGAGGGCTAGGACTATGCCTGAATGCCCAGAACGAAACAGGTGATTTTCTTAACGGACCACGCTCCAAGCCTTTAACCTAAAGGTCTAATCCACAAGGTAGTGGAGTAACGTAAGGAGATGCAGTCTCATGGTAGCCAATGATCAATAATTGATTCATACGCTATTTGTTCCTTTAGGATCCTGGAGCCAAAAGTGTATCATTGGTTTGTTATCAAAGTTTACCAAATCCCCTAGGTGGACCCACTAAACCGGTTAAAGCACCGGATATTTAATTTTTGTCCTCTAAATTTCGTAAACGATCGTAATGCCGCAAGAAGGTAGTGAGTAGGACATGCGTGACAGTAGTTGTATGCACGTGGCCGTGTGAGAGCATTTCTAGGGGGAGAGAGAGAGAGAGCTGACTTTCTCTAACCTTGGAAGTATTAGGGAATTTGGGGGCATTATTTATAATATTATTGCGGGGTATCTGTCAAAATGAGGAAAACGGTTTATTTAGACTTTAAAATTCATTATCATATATCAACAGGGATAAAATGAAATAAATTTGAACTTATGAAATGAAAACATTAAACAAGAGTTGAATAATTCAACCAGTGTGTTAATACTTTTGAAATTGATAGAGTAACTTATAGAGGATGGAGATTTAAGCACTGATAAGACATTGGATTCAGATCATCCTTTACTGTAATATTGATGAAGTTTATTTATGGCATATAAATAGTGGTACAACTAGACACCAAATGTAGTAATCCCTCATGAAATAGGATTATAAATTTAAACCTTCGAATGAATAAATAACAATAACCAGAAAAATAGGCTTGTTCATGTAATAAGACATTTCAATTTATTTGATCTGATATATATATATATATATATGGAGAACTACAACAACCAACATCAAGAAGGTAAAGGTATTTATTAATAGCTGTCTACGCATGATACTCAACATCCATTGGCCGGATACCATCAGCAACAGCCTTTTGTGGGAGTGAACCAACCAGCTTCCAGCTGAAGAGGAAATCAGGAAAAGACGATGGAAATGGATAGGACATACATTAAGGAAATCATCAAACTGCATTACGAGACAAGTGTTAACTTGAAATCCTGAAGGGAAGCGGAAAAGAGGAAGGCCAAAGAACACATTACGTCGGGAAATAGAAGCAGATATGAAAAAGATGAATAAGAACTGGAAAGAGCTTGAAAGGATTGCCCAGGACAGGGTTGGATGGAGAATGCTGGTGAGCGGCCTATGCTCCTTCACGAGGAGTAACAGGCGTAAGTAAAAGTAAGTAAGTGATCTGATATAACTAAACAGTAAACATATCAGGTGTCATACAAAACAAATTTTTGTCTAGGTTAAGATATTGCTCGAGTGCCGAAATAAAACATGGTGTTATTCTTAAAGAGCCACTCATCAAGTATTTAACCTAAATGTATAATCCATAAGGTAGTGGAATAACATGAAAGATTACTATTTCATGGTGAAGTGAGACTGGAAATAGGTTCATGTATTAACCGTCACCTCAGGATCATGGAGTTAAAGTATATCACAGTATTAAAATTATTGATTTCTAACACCTCTATGTGGATCCTCCGAATCCACTAGCCCAGCCTTTTCGCTTTCGTAAACAACACTGATATCATGTGAAGGTGGTGAGTAAGCATTCCTTGGTATGAGCTGTAAACCTATAGCCATATGAGAACATTTCAAATGAGAAAAAGGACACTCCTCATCATCAGTCGTAACATGACATTAAGGAGCTGAAGTAGGGAGATATGAACTGTCCGATTTCAAATCACTGGTGAAAAATGGACTTACTCATTGTAAAAATATCATAGTTTAAGTTTGAACTCTATGTGGAATGGTGCATGGGAGCATTATTAAAGAGCCCTAAACTAGAGAGAAAACACTTGCTGCTGTTTACTTGCATCCTCCCATCAACTCTGAGATGCAGGTACATCCAGCTGACGAGTCCCAAATAGAACGAAACGCGAGTCAAACTGTTAACCATTATTCATCTTTGCTTAGAGAGAAAATAGCTGTCAAATATTTAGAAAAAGTTGACTAATTTCGTGATGTAAGCTAATTAGAAATCAAAATTTGTTCTCTAAAATATTACACTAAGTACTATTTGATTAGTTGAGATCATGAGTCAATTGAAGCTAGACCACCATAGAAAACTTGAAAACACTGGACGACTGTTTCGTCCTATTGTCGAACTCCTCAGCAGTGTGTATCCATGACTTCGCCTCGCGAGATTCGAACCCAGGGCCTATCAGTCTCTCGCGCGACCTATTAACCACTACACCATTGAGTCGGAATCCGGTGGTGTTATTGTCTAACTTCAATTAATCCATAATAAATTGATCGATACATCCACCATTGTCATCAATGAGTTACTATCCCACAGCTGACAACTATTTGAACAGCTAAAAATATATTAATCATTGAATTGAAGCACTATGTAATGGATTTTGATATTTCTATTAGAGTAATTATTAATAATAATAATGGTAAATTATTGTTAACTTCAACGTTTATTGTTTAGTAAAGTAGAAATAGATTTCAACTTGTCTCATTTATTCAAATATGAAAAAGTCATACAATGAAGCTTATAGGGTATTACTACTACTACTACTACTACTACTACTACTACTACTACTACTACTACTACTACTAATAATAATAATAATAATAATAATAATAATAATAATAATAATACGTCGATTTGCACACATGATTACATAAGCGAAACTCTACTACAAATCAACCGTAACACACTTTATTTGAATAAATGATAGAAGGGAAGAAGTAGGGTATTTTAGAAAACAATTACATTAAAACATTCAAATGAAAAGTTACATAATACAAAGACAATGTGACCTGTTTCAATGTTAAGTTTCAGTCAAGAGTAAAACTTATTCATTGGAACTACCAATCATTTTACTATGAAAAAAGATACATATATATACATATAGACGGGGTGTATTTAGAAACTATTGGATAAGTTACAATTATGTAATGAAGTATGAGGTGATAATGTTTAACGTTATGTTATATAATTTTATTTGATTCGAAGGCTAGTGTTACTAGATTAATTATTGTTCATATGGAAACAGTTGAAACATGATTTAATGTTGAAAAAATCACATTTATTTTAATTATTAGGATATTAGTAGTATTTAATGTGCTTTGATTAAAAGAAATAGAAGAAATTTATTATCTATTTATTTGAACATATAAATATTGGTACAAAGAGGCATCGAATATATATTCGCCATACACATCACTTGATTTGTGTGTGTGTGTGTGGGTTATGATACTGCTCAGGTGCTCAAACCGAAGCAGATGGTTTTCTTAGAGGGCCACACTTAGAACCTTCAAACTAAAGGTTTGATCCACAAGACAGAGGGAACAACATCAGAAGATGCAGTCCCACGGTAAACGATGACAGACAATTGGTTCATACGAGAGCCCATATGCACCGTTTGTTTGGAATGAGGGTTTTCCAACTCCCCTATGTGGGTTCTCCATATCCATCAACCTGGTTAAATTATCGAATATTCGCTATTCGTCCTCTCAATTTTGTAAACAACAGTAATGCCATGAGAAGGCAGTGAGTAAGACTTTCATGGCAACGACTGTATACGCGTGGCCATGTGAGAGCATTTCGAGTGAGAGAGAGAGAGAGCTGACTCTCCCCAACCTCGGACGTAGGAGGGGGGAGTAGGAAACAATTATTGTACTACTACTTTTGGTTAGCGTTTTTTTAGCGAGTTAGGTTTCTACGGGATGGGGACGCTAACCCCATGCCCAACCCTCCTCCTTTACCCGGGCTTGGGACCGGCAGTAACTCTGGAAGAGCTACTAATAATAATATAATAAACACTAGTGAGAGAAATACGCTAAAACAACAACAACAACAACAACAACAGAGAATGATTACAAAAAGGTGTTTATTTAATTTACGTAATACATTTAGGAAGAGGAGAGAGAGGGAGGGAGAAAGTATATCGTGTTTTTTTAATCACTAACTAAATTCAGTCAATAATATAAATGAACTTTCTAGCTTATAGAATATTTAACAAATGATGTATAATAACAATAACAAACAATAAATCATTTTTATATGAAGATATTGAAAACATGGAATTCTGTTTATAAACTTCAATAATAAGTTTTATTAGCTATAACAAAAGGAGTATAGCAACTATTCTATAATCAATTTCAATTATGGTTAAGCCATTTTATTAAGTTACTTAACAGATAATGTTATTTGAACAGTATTTCTTTGTATTATTATGATCATTACTATATTTGTTGTATGAACGTGTACTCTGGATTATATGTGACATCCTACTCACCATCTCTATCTAGTTTGATTATTGATAGCCTAAATATTACCAGATGAATCATTCTCTATCCCGTATATGTATGTACTTGAATTCTATTATTAGTATTTGCCATTCCTATCAGTGCCTTAATTCGATTTGACTATAAATTTGTCACTGTATTTGTTTGCATATACATCGTCACCTCTCTGTTTCAAATTTGCTCAATGTGCTTGTAGCTTTGTGATATGTGCTATCCGCTAATAAACTGTAGTCACCGTTTCTTATTGACTGTTGATTCTAAACACTGTCGGGATTTATATAATAACGGTTATCGAGGTGATTGATTAACGAAGCCAAACCACTATACAAAAGTGTAATTTGAGGTATACATATATAGGTACTTGTTTAAAATCTATACAATGACGTTTAGTTAGACATGAAGTGATCATGAATCCATGTACATATCAATATGTGAATGGAAGTAATGATGTACTGTTCATCAACTGTAGAATTCGGCGAGACTACAATTTATGGACGAACCAATCAGGTATAAGATCACAAGTCGGATTTTGGCACGAAATTCACTCATCCATTTGGCTAAATAGAGTTTTGACATTATAGCTGATGATGATGATGATGAAAACCCTAAATGTAATTCCTAACACTAACCATCAACTGTAAATCATAATTCTAATTCCTTACACTGGTTTATAACCCTCATTTCGACTTATTTATTAGGTGAACACTCTCAAGGTCACTTTAGGGTCGCTCAAAGATTGTCCATAAATTATAGTCTCACCGAGAATTCAGTTGGAACAAGGTTAAATGATTTAGTATATTAACTGAGAAGATTATGCAAATTATATGATGTTCTCGTATACACATAAATATTTATTTTATAGTTTATGTCATGAATTGATGTTAGTCGGGAAAAATTGCAAACTAGTAATGTACAACTGTTTACTCTTTCGATGAAACTTCTTGACCATACACATCCATGACTTTACCAGTGATTGAATCTAGGACATTTAGGTTACCACGATGAGTGCTTAACTTTAATAGCAGTGAGTTGACATCAAAAGGTTCATATGTCTAAATTTATTTACTTTGCGATACCGTACACTTATCTTTCAATGCCATGAGCGAGTAACTTTCCAACATAGATGTGGTTGAACTTCATAGTTTCTTGATTTTCAGTGAGATCACAGACACGTACCATAGAGAGTTCCTAAATAAGGATGAAACAGCTGTCCTGTGCTCATTGGATTTTAACGGTTATCTAAGGTTAATCAGTAATGTAGACTGTAAAATTTGGAAAACTTGACAAACCTCCAATATAAATAAACAAACATTAAATAATAACAAAGATGGATAGCGGCTAGCAGTGGAATGTAGGATGCGCGTTTCGTCCTATTTGGGACTAGTCAGCTGGGTGTACCTGCATCTCAGAATTAATGTTCACTCTGGGACTTGAACCCAGTACCATTCGCTCCAAACGCCATCACGTTATCCACTTAGCTACTGAGTCCTGATAGCCACTTGCTTGTGCAATGGGGTGGAGTTTCAATTCACTTGGTGTTGTTTTACTTGTATCTACCCATTGATGTTTAGGACTGAAATTGATCAGTCTCTTATATTGGCATATGTGCATCCTGTGCGGATCGCTTCGACATAACTTTAAGTGACAAGCTTTTTAAGGCTATATCGGGGCAATCCGCACAGGATGCACATATGTCAACATGAGACTGATCAATTTCAGTCCTAAATAACAGTGGGAAGATACAAGTTAAACAAGACCAAGTGAATTATACAATAACAGTCAACAATTTTGTAAAAAAAAAACAAACCAATAACAACAGACTAATCTACACAACTTACCGAACGTATACGACGATCTGTACATTCTTTAGCTAATACTTTTGCACATTGATTAACATCCAAAGATGCTTCAGCAATAGCCATAGAAACATTAATTAGGTCCTTCTTTGTACCGTATTCACCACTAATTATATTTTTGATGTTTTATTAAAGGAAGACCAAAAAAAATAGACTGGTAATATCGGAATAAACAAAGTCGATGTTTGAATAAGATAATTTGGTTATTTAATTATGAAACGAAAAAATAGAACAAATCAATTAAGAACGATTTATTTTCATAGTAAGAATGATCGAAGTCACTTTAAGAATTAAGAGAGTTAATAATTCGACGAGCTGTTGATATGGAGAATTGTAGAAGTTACGAAATTCATGGTTTTATATAATTGAACAACCATTCAAGGGAAAGAATTACCGGATAATTGTTTTGATCCATAATCATTTCAGTGATGCTTATCCATGACCACACTAGTGATCAGAATCACAACATTTACATCTAGTAGTAAGCGCCATATTACGTTTTGGTGGTGGATCAAACACTCCTAACAATGATTATTTATCGGAATTACAAGATATCAACAATTAGACGACTACAGAACTTTAAGTAACTAAGAAACTAAAGATATAACTACAGTTTTACCTTCAAAGTTTGTATGACTATGAAAAGTCCAGCGATTGTTTATAAATCTACCAACCACTTTAGGAGTTCTAAAAAATTCTGACAAAGATTCAATTAAGTTTTGCTGTAGGTTTCATTAAGTTCATATTGTAAATTATTGAAATCTAATATAAAACTGGATTTGTATGACCTATATAGATTAGAGGACTGATAAAAAGCGTTTCAACAATAATCAAGAACACATTGAAACAGAGAAAAGAGTTTGAGAAGAAGTGAAACATGTTACGGAGGTAGAAGAAACAACTAATGAAATAACAGTCAAGATTATTGAAGAAATATAAATTGGAAAAGTATTACCATAGTTATCGTTACAAGTACGAAATATGATTCATTAAAAAAAGAAACTAGATAATTTTTAGTCCGTTTTAGGAGAAGCAGAAACTAGTAATCAATTGTTTGTTTGATCACCCATACAATAAAGATTGAATTCCATCATCTTAGAGAATTTATATTCAACAAGGTAGTTGGGAGTAATTTTGGTGAAACTAATTTATGGACAATTTTTGATCGACGCTAAAGTGACTTTTAGAATGTCAGCCTACTTAGTAGAGCTAAATGAGAATTATGAAGCAGTATGAAGAATAGGGATTATGATTTACAGTTGATTGAACTGATAACAGTAAAATTGCCAAAAGGATAAATGAATTTCGAGCCTAAAATACAAGACCTGTTATCCCAAATATGATTGGTTTGTCCATAAATTAAAATTTCGCCGTAATTTTTGGTTCATATGAGTTATCAGGAATAAATTTTTGACAGAAAAATAGAAGCAAGGAAACTAATAACTGAAAAATAATACTAGATGTAGATAGAAGAATTAAAGAGGTTGATTATGAATACAGTGGTCTTGAATGCTGTTAGAGGTATGAAAGCGGTTATCACTTCTCGGTTACCCACACCACAGAAAGGTTCTTCTAGAGGTACCTGAAAAGGAAATCGGGTTAGAGGTGGTCTTAGTGACCTGAGAGAGTAACCACAGTCCCCAACGGACAACTGCTCGAGGTCGGTCACACATAACCTCTTTGTGGGTAATTTTCGTGTCTGCTCCGTACTTGTTAAGACCTTACCACCGGAGACGTATATCCGTGAGATAAGGCGAGGTGTGCATTTTTAGGGTCGACCTTTTCTAAACCCGAACCTCCTTGTGGGAAGGCAGATTCGCTGTTATGCTGGTTGTCTGAAGGGAACACCTTATTGCTGCCACACCTCTGTACAGTCAGTAGTATGACTTCACTTTCAGACCTTGGGTTCGCTACTTTTAGTCTTGCCGTTCTTCAAGAGACCTGTCTGACATGGTGGGACCTTGAGGAACGATTTTTTCAGCCAGTAAAGTTCGATTGGTTCATCACGATAGACAAGCCCGACTACCACGTCAAGGTAGCAACAACGGTCGGGACGAAATGAATATAGTACATTTTTTCCCCACTCTAATTACAATTAAATACACAGAAGAATATCAATCTATATGTAGAAAGAAATCATGACAACATGTAAACAGATAAACAATATTAAGATATTTACCGAACAATTTGACTTAATTGAGCCATTAAAGCAGCCATACGTTTAGTTGCTGCAATTAATTCATTGTCTCGACTAGACCATAATCGTGTTTCATGATGTAATGCATGAGCAGCGGCCTAAAATTGTAAATTAGTAAGGAACTAATCGTTGAATCAATAAGTAAACAAAAAAAGAAGTATGATCTAAACAAAACTGACTTATTCCTGGTTTGTTTTTTTTTTTGGATTTATAGCATAATCAACCTGTTAGAGAAGTGGGAAACTCACCAAACTAGTATCTTGAAATCAAATATTCTCATTATATGTATGGATGAAATTCGATGAGGTATTATAAGTCTACTACCCAATATGAATCTACGTAGTAAAGTGAATAGATCAGTTGATGAAGGCATTGAATTACAATTTAGACAAGTAACAAAAGCTTAAGTAGAATTGAATGAAAGAAACATCAAGTGTGATCGAACTAAAATATGATACCAGTCTCTAAAATTATTGAAGAACAGTGTGAAGTAATAGATTTCTATTGTAAAGTTAATGTATCATAAACTAAATACGATGGTTGTAAATATATACAATGAAGCTATAATACTTTTCAGAAGAGGTTTTATGGAGATTTTTAGTAATTTCAGTAGTTGAAATCATGAGTCAATTGACGCTAGACCACTATGGAAAAACTGGAAGCACTGGACGACCGTTTCGTCCTAGTATAGGACTCCTAAGCAGTGCGCATCTACGATCCCGTCCCCCACGAGATTGTTTATTCAAATTAATATTCATATAGAAAATGTCAACTGCTCGTTAAAATGTATTTTGGAAATAAATGAACTTCACTTAAACTCTCAATGCGGAAAGCATACAATTAGGTTAGCTGGTTTACTACGATGATCGTGGATGCGTACTGTTGAGGAGTCCCACAATAGAACGAAACGGTCGTCCAGTGCTTTCAGGTTTTTCTATGGTGGTCTAGCTTCATATTCTCAACCATTGAAATTAGGATGATATCCACAAAAAAACCCTTCTGATATGAATCATTGATAGACAAATTAGTAATTGCTGTATTGACTAGACAGTGTAAAAATTAATACACCTAAATTCTGGTTAATATTATTTTAAGTCACAGAATCAACTTAAATCTGATCAATTATGTTGTGTGATTGTACTATTGAAGACTACTTTCAAAATACTGTGAAATCTAACTACTTATTTTATTTCAGTAGCTTACTTCATCTATACTGAATCTCAGAATTGGGTTGTGGAGATTATCAAGTTTTAATTGAGATCGTGAAGCAATTGATGTTAGACCACCACTGAAAACCTGGTAGCACTGGACGACCGTTCCGTCTTATTGTGGGACTGCTCAACAGTGAGCATCCATGATCCCGTGATTGGGATTTTTAGTGATGGTTTAACATCAAACGGTTCATGATCTCAGTCAAAATACTGAATCTCATTTTAATATGTGTGTAATATCATAAGATTAAAGGATCACATATTTACTTGGATGTTGGAACGTATCAGTAAACGTACGTACATACAATGTACTCATCTGTTCATTTATACAGATATATGTTCTATAGGCTCATTGTCGATGAACTGAGTAAATTCCATTTCTAAGAACATATTTAGTTTTATATCTGTTATGGAACTCTATAAAACTGGATTTTCAATAAATTTTAATAATAGAAATATACATAAATTAAGGCAGGTCTACATATATGACATAATGAGGATATAATCTCTTATATTAAATATGATGATTATTAGACAACATGTGATCAATAAGGCTCATTATAAATACATTAACTCATATTGCACAAATATAATAAACTATATGAGAGTAACAACATAGCAACTAAAATACTCAGTTGTCAACCATAGAGTATTAAATACGAACCCAATGTAGTTTTATTTACATTGGATAGTTGTGTAGTTTACTCAATTCACAAATAGACAGATAGGTAAACACAAAAAAAAGTATGATTTAAAGAAGGAAATATAAAGCTATAGGTGATTATGAGGTTGTGTTATATACTTACACGTATTACATTCTATTTGTATTTACGCATTTAGTTTCAAACTTTATTTTAAGTATTTATCTTTTGAAAAGCAATTGACTTTTAAGCATCTATGCATCCTGTGGTATAGTTTATTTATTTGAACACATAAATATTGGAACACAGGGGAACTGAATACATATGCGCCACACAAGTCACTTGATTTGTGTCCGAGGTATGATACTACCCGGGTGCTCAAACCGAATAACGTGGTTTTCTTAGAGAGCCACACGCGGAGCTTTCGACCTGAAGTCTGATCCACAAGGCAGAGGAACAGTGTCAGGAGATGCAGTCACATGGTAGCCAGTGACAAATAATTGGTTTATACAGGATCCTGGAGCCCATGTTCACCTTTGGTTTGGAATGAGAGTTTCCCAAATCCCCTTTATGGACTCTCCGTGTCCACCGTCCCGATTAAAGCGTTGGACATTCGCTTTTCATCCTCTCAATTTCGTAAACAACAGTAATGCCAGGAAGTATGACTTCCCTGGCAGCGGTTGTATGCATGTGGTTATGCAACAGCATTTCGAGAGGGAGAGTGACTTGTTCCCACCCTCAGACGTATCAGGGTATATAACCGAAAGGATTATTATGATAGTAACGAATAAATTATATAGAAAAGTAACCTTACATCTTAACAGGTCACTATAAAGTAAAAAAGACAATATATATGACCAGAAATAATTGAAAGCAATTGCAATTTATCACAGTACTACTCTACCTATACTATTTTAACTTGCCTAAATTTATAATAGAGAAGTTTTTGGATAATTTACTCTGGTTGATATTCAATTATTTAAGAAACTATTCGTTCAAATCTTGATGAGAATTCATATAAATCATTTTTGACAGATTGTATACATAGATACAAAGTATATGGTCAGATACGATTGAGGACACTTTACATTATATTAATTGTAATGGTGTCATCATGTACAAAAAAAAGTTACCTTTAAAAACACAATAAATCAGCAATATGTTGTCAAGATTATTGAAAAGCACATTATTTCATTCAGTAAAAGCTTTACTTGCTGTTGTATGGGTAAGAATGGTAATGATTGATTGTTTGCTTAGTCAGACATGTAGATAGTCTCAAAAGTGTTAGAAGAATATATTCTTCTATCCTTAGTATTATTGTTGTTGGATTGTGTGGAACTATATTTACATTCCAGGAAGGCTAATCATATGTTCTTGATCTGAGTTGTATTGAAATCCTGTCAAATGGACAGTGAGAGGGAATCTAGTGCAGATATTCGTCTAAGGCAAATTAACGTTCCATTAAGGCAGACGAAGAACCTTTAGCGTTATAACACTTCCATGAATTCTAAGTTTAGGGTCTTTCTGACAAGTAAGTCAAATAACTATTTCACATTGAATATATTAATATCAGAAGGGATTTTGTGGAGATTGTAGTGATTTCAATCATTAAGATCACGAGTCAGTTGAAGCTAGACCACTATGGAAAACCTGGAAGCACTGGACGTCCATTTCGTCCTATTGTGGGACTCCTCAGCAGTGCGCATCCACGACCTCGCCCCCTGCGAGATTCCAACCCACGACCTACTGGTTTCGCGCGCGAGCACTTAACCACTAGACCACTGAGCCGGCATCCAACTGTGTTCATGTCTAACTTCAACTAATCCACGAAATTGAGCGACACATCCACCATTGTCTTCAATGAGTTTCTATCCCACAACAGACCTGGTTGAACTCCACTGGTCACTACTTCTCATTAGAACTCCAGGATATACCTCTTGAAGCCAGTCACTAGTGAGCATATGTTGATTATTATCAGAAGGGGTTTTGTGGAGATTGTAGTGATTTCAATCAGTATGCCCTGGGTTCGAATCTCGCAGGGGGCGAGGTCGTGGATGCGCACTGCTGAGGAGTCCCACAATAGGACGAAACGACCGTGCAGTGCTTCCAGGTTTTCCATGCTGGTCTAGCTTCAACTGACTCATGATCTTAATGATCGGAATATATTAATGATAAAATTCATATACAAGAAGAAAACCATTGAAATCATTATACTTTATGATAATCCGTAAAGAAAAGCAGAAAAATAGCTTAGATTGATACATGAATTAAATTATTATAATTAATATAATCTCTACAAACGCCCCCCCCCGCATTCTAAAAATAGATTAGTAGTAAAGAACATATGTATTACGAAAGTTACCTCAACGACCTCTAAACTGTGCGCTAGTTATCGATGATTAGACTTGATTTAAAAGGAAAAGAAGAAGTCAGTTACTGATAAAGTGCTCAAGTATTTTTTTAAAATTGAGGTGTCATTCGAAATGGATCAGAATAGAAGTTTGTATGGAATCTGTTGTAATTTTCGTTTCAATTTGTAAATATATGTTTCTTTATTGACCTTCAATTTGAGGTATTCACGTTTACTAACCAGTTATTATGATTGGGTCAAGGGTACTAATTTCGATATTCAATTAGGTGTATTCAATAAATAGATAGCATTAAAAGACATATTGTGAAAGTAAACAAGTAGCAAAAACTAATAGAATATTGAAATAAAAATAAATAAAGAATTGGAGTTAGACATTAACACCGTTGAATACCCGCTTAGTGGTTTAGAGGATAAGAGTTCGCATACGAGACCGATAGGTTCTTGGTCTGGATCCCGCAAGTGGGATAGTAGATGAGCATTCCTGAGGAGTCCCATACTATGACAAAGCGGCCGTACGTTGCTCCCAAATGCCCTGGTATGGCCGAGAGTGGAGAGAGTTCGCTCTCCCTCTCCAAATGCTCTCACATGGCCATGCGTATATAGCCTCTGCCAGGGAAGTCCTACTCACTGCCTTCTCGTGGCATGACTGTTGTTTACGAAATTGAGAGGACGAAAAGCGAATGTCCGGTGCTTTAACCGGATCCCAAACCAATGGTGCACATGGGCTCCAGTATCCTGTAGGAATAAATGACGTATGAACCAATCGTTGGTCACCGACTACCATGGGACTACATCTCCTTATGATGCTCCACTGCCTTGTGGATTAAACCTTTACGTCGAAGGCTCCGGGTGTGGCCTCCTAAGAAAACCACCTGCTTCGGTTTGGGAACCCGGACATTTTCGCAGTCCTCACACAAATCAAATGAGATTTGTGTGGCTCATATGTATTTGGTGCCTCCTTGTATCACTACCTATGTGTTAAAATAAATAAATAAAATAAAACATTGCTTCCAGGATTTCCTTAGTGATCTAGCTTCAATTAACTGATCCATTCAACTACTAGAATAAATAATTTTTAAAAAGAAAACAAGACAAACGAACATAACTATAATTGTCACTAACCATAATTGGTTGATTTTCTTCAGGTGGTGGAAAGTTGAATTCCTCATCAACTTCCGTATCAGGTGTACTGGTTCGTGCAGGAACACCAGCTGCTGTTGTTGTAGTAGATACAGCATCATCTAAAGAAATAGTACCAGATTGTTGTTGTCGATCCTCATCTGAAAAATACCATAAACAACGTGTTAGGATAGAACATAATGAAAGAAATAAACTATGACAAACATATTCCAACAAGCATATGAATATTTGAAAGCCAATGCAATATGCGAACATAAAATATTTACGCATATAACCGAAGTGTAGAAGATGGAAAAAAACTAATAGTCTACTACTTCGACTGTAATAATAAGATAGATAGTATAATCAAAATTCTAACAATATTAACCCCTCATTATTATAGACATTAATACATCCTTATGAAATTCACAAATAGTATCCAATTTGTGTATTCGTATGGTGCACATGGGCTCCAGGATCCTGATGGAACAAATGGTATATGAACCAATTATTGGTGATCGGTGACCACGAGACTGCATCTCCTGACGTTGGTCCACTGCCTTGTGGATTAGACCTTTAGGTCAAAGGTTCCGGGTGCGGCACCCCTACGAAAACCATCTGTTTCTGTTTGTGCATCCGGGCCGTGTCCCAGCCCTCACACATATCGAATGATTTATATGGCGCATATCTATTTGGTACCTCCTTATACCAATGATTATGTGTTTAAGTAAACAAATAGTTACCATGACAATAGTCATGATAAAAGTAATAACGAAGACTTTGAGAAGGATTATTATCAAATAATGATATACACATAATCAATGTAACAGCATTTCACAGAAAAGATAAAAACACTACTTGTTTACTTCTTTTTCATATCAGACAAAAAAAACTAACAAAAATCATCTCAATCCTTCATAACTGTCATGCAATCAAATGAACAAACACTGGTACAGAAACAAGTGAGAGAGAGAGAAAGGAGGAGGAAGAAAGGAAGACTGATAGAAAAGAAAAAAATGATCCTTCAAGTGATTATTATGCACAAGATCAAAGAACATGCGTATCTATCCCAATGATATTCAACAAAAATTATATACCTGTACATAAATAATCATTATTTTGTTTCATTGTTAAATAAGTATTTATGTTTTCAGTGTGATGATGATGATGTTTTGAATGGTTATGAGGATGACAGTGATGATTTTGTTGTTGGTAAGGGGGTGATGGCGGTGAATGTGGATTATTATTATTATTACTATTATTATTAGTGTAGTGACCAGGTGAGTATGCTTGATGAAGTGGACTGGATTGTTGATATGAATGTGTAAGTGATGAATAAGGTTGATGATGATGATGACTGGTAGTAGTGATGTGTTGTTTTTGATGATGTGGAAGTGGTGGTGGTGGTGAATGATGAAGAGGATTAGATAATTTAATTTCGTACACGGGTTTTTGATAATAATGTGATGTATGATAAATGTAATCATTACTATTATTATTATTATTACTATTAGTATTATTGTCAATATATGAATATGGTATATGAGAAACATCTAGAGAATAGCAAAGAAATGAAATGAAAATGGATAGAGAAAAATATAGATACTATTTACTTTCAAATAAAGTACAATGGACACCGAGATTTAGTATGAAATGTATGGTACATCGATATCATACACGATGAATACGACATGAATAGTTAACTGTCAAATAATTCTATTATAAAAGGAAGGTAATGAATTGATACTTAAAATATAAGTCCCTTTATGAAACACTTGTTGCGTTTGTGTTGGTGAAATATCCCATCTGAAAATGAACGACCGAGTATACTGCGTAGCATTTCTCTCTGGTTTACTTAATGCCTATAAAACATTGGCTATAAAAGTATAGGATATTTGTAGGTCACTTATTTATTATTTATTTTAACACATAGATATCGGTACAAGAAGGCACCAAATACATATGCGCCACACATATCTCATTTGACATGTGTGAGGGCTGTGATGCTGCCCGGGTGCCCAAACCGGGTCACTATTATTTGGCAACAGTATTTGACACATTGAATACGGAGACAAAGTATACGGGTATCGGGAAAAGATGACAAATCGATTAATAGCATTCTGAAGATTCATTGAATGAAGTGTTTAAGACATGCATTACGTAAACTCAACAAGCGTCTACATGGATGTTCTAAACAATCTGTTGAATGAATAGGTTAGAACAAGTCTAGTAGTGATCAAATCAAAATGTGATATTAGCCAATGAAGTTACTGAGTGTTGACCAGTCTTGTAGGAAAATGTAGACTATATTCACCCATTGTCTATGGATAGATCATACAAGTAGATAAATTATACAATAAAAACAATCGTTTATTAAAGAGTCAGTCAGTTTCAATGTAGGACCAGGCACATATATGAATCGGTCCAAGTTAACACACCTCACTTATTAGCACAACAACATGAACACCTAATTCATAGAGGTAATTCATTCAATGGTAGTAATACATAAAAGAAAGATTGTGTATAAAGATTTAGTACAGGAAGAAAGAATTAGTTCGTAAAAATAAAGATATAGAGTAATTTTTATCACACGGTTTAAGGGAAGACAGAGAGTGTATACACCTACGCCATAGTAAAAGATTCTGAGCCATGTCACCCAAAGTCTTCAACTATTGGGACCCAATCAAGTAGTCTGCATATACCAATATGGTTCAAACTAGGAGTTAATGACATTAAGGACTGATGTCATGTTTTAGTTTGGCCGCTCGTTTATCAAGCAGGCCCCCAAATGCCCTGGTACGGCCGAGAGTGGGGAGAGTCCGCTCTCCCTCTCCAAACGCTCTCACATGACCATGCGTATATAGCCTCTGCCATGGAAGTCCTACTCACTGCCTTCTCGTGGCGGGGGTGTTGTTTACAAAAATGAGAGGACGAAAAGCGAATGTCTGGAGCTTTAACCGGATCCCAAACTAATGTTGCACATGGGCTCCAGTATCCTGCGGGAACAAATGGCGTATGAACCAATCGTTGGTCACCGGCTACCATGGGACTGCATCTCCTCACGATGCTCCACTGCCTTTTGGGTCAGACGTTCAGGTCAAAGGCTCGGGGTGTGGCCCCCTAAGAAAACCACCTGCTTCGGTTTGGGCACCCGAGCAGTATCACACCCTCACACAAATCAATTGAGATTTGTGTGGCGCATATGTATTTGGTGCCTCCCTGTACCTATACTTATGTGTTAAAATAAAAATAAATTATCAAGCAGGGGCTTGTCAAAATATTTTTTGGAAAATATCATTAACAAAATTGAATTCAATCATTAACTATATAACAACTAAACATACTAAGATATAACAAAGGAAAGAATACGGGATCAGTAAACATTATCTAATGAATTACAGAATTTCAATGGTTAAGACTATGAGTCAGTTGAAAAGTTAGACCACCATAGAAGCACTGGATGGCCGTTTTCCATGATGGTCTAACTTCAACTGATTCATGATCTTAACCATTGAAATTACAAGAAAACTGTTCATCAATAAATAAAATATTAAAGGAAATAAAAAAGAATTACAAAAGAATACTTCAGAAGTACTTACCTGTAATTGATATTTCTTGCATTTCTCGAAGAGGAATTGAAGGTGTTATCTCTTTTATAGAAGCTTGTGATGATTTAGATGATGAGACACTGTTGTTATTATAATTATTATTATTATGTATATTATTACAGCTATTACTACTAATACTTGTATTTGTACTATTAATTCCATTTTTATGTACAGATATTGGACGATAATGTTCATGATAATAATTAATAGGATTATTAAATGATGGACTAACAGCTTGTTTTACTGAATTAACAGCAGTTAATAAATTACGATTTGATAAACGCCATTGATCATGCATACGTGGATCTTCAATATTTGTTACTAAACCTTTTGCATCATTCACCATTGGTGTGATAGCTATTGAAAAATGGAGAAGTAGAAATGGTGAGAAGTAAAAGAAAACAACAAGATTGATGGTCAGATGGAACGAATATAAGATAAAAAAAAATTATGAATAAGACAGCGAACATTTATATATCAAATATTATTAATCATAATTTGTGATGATCAGTCAGTCAGATACAATGGAGGACCAGGCACATACATGCATCGATCTAAGTTGCCATACCTCACTCAATTAGCACAACAGGATGAACACAAAATTCATAGAAGTAGTTAATTCAGTGGTGGTAATATATAAAAGAAAGATTGCATATAAGTATGTAGTACAGTAAGAAAGAAATAGTTCATGGAAAGAAAGATATGAAGCGATTTTAATCGCATAGTTTAGAGGAAGACAAAGTGTACACACATATAACATGTCACACACAGTCTCCAACCGTTGGCTACGATAGTCACGTGGACCCCAATCAATTAGTTTGCATCTATCAACATGGTTCAGACTAGTGACTTCAAGCACTGATGCTATGTTTTGGTTTGGTCACCCCTAACTTTCTTCCAACCTTCTCCAACAATAGTCAGCATTGCGCGTCGTAGCAATCAGTGTTCAGGCATACGCAACACGTGACCCAACTATCTCAGTTGATGAAGATTCACAACTTCATCAGCTGATCTACTATCGTTCCCTAATACCATGCGTTTAACCATACTATTACTTACCCGGTGATCCAAGCAGTTGCGAGCAATATTTCTAAGGCATCTGTGATGATACTATAAGTGTTGCTCAAACTGATAACTTATTCATCAAACTAAACCCTAGTCACGAAATCTGAAAGGTCTGAGATGTCATCTTTGGTAGGCTTATGGATAGAGACCGTCGCAGAAATTATATTGAAAAGAACAGATACTTATACATGAATTTAGGTGTTCTATAATTGAATGAAATAGCTTCTGAGTGTTTCCTTGTTGTATATCTGAGATCAGTTCATGATCAATATGCATAATAAACTTATTTAAGTTATATGGTATTTAATATACTCTTGTTAATATTACGTAATAATGGAATAATGAATTTATTTCACAATCTTAATAAGATATAAAATAACCTGTTGATTACAATAAAATAGATAAATACTATCCCCATTGAACTGATATGATGGAAAGAAAAGACAAAATTCAATTGATGTAGTCATTATGAGTTTGATTCAAGATTACTTCCGTTTTCATTCAATGTAATGATCATTTAGTGTAGTATTCGGTTTTGTTCTCCCGGTATAATATTTTATTCTGTATAATATACGATATTTTTGTATTCGAATGACTATGAACTATACTCAGTATGTGATTTCATCCTAATGGGTGTACAATCAATATATAAATGAATGTATTTTCGACTAAGGTCGTCGTCGTGTTATGGGGTTAATAAACATTCACTTATACCAGTCTTTGTGTTCTTACTTTCGCGTCATGGGAATTGCAGAGGTCCCTCATTTTCGAGTATAAGTGATCAGCGTTTTTCCGGCACAACAATCAGCGAGAACCAGATACAAAAAATAGCATTAAAAAGCCAAGACAATAAGCATTCAAACGACAAGCTATAACAATTCACAGATGATTATTTGATAAACATGTTAGATCAATTGAAAAAGTTAGGCTCTTAAATCAAAGATCCGACGAGGGATGGTTTCTTAAGAAAATCACCTGATCCGGATTAGTTACCGATTTGTCATTGATAAATACGTCTGCTTTAGCAAAGAGTGGAACTAATTGATATATATTTGTCGTTTGCAACTTACAATTGATGTTTAAGACTGCCATTTATCAGTCTCTTATTGGCATGTGTGCATCCCATCCAGATTGCCTCTGTGTTGCCAGTAATTCATGAGCATTTTAAACAGAGATAGATAGTGGCTATCAATAGGGTCGATGACGCCCATTTCGTCCTATTCTGGACTCTTCCGTTGGGTGAACATACATCCCAGAGTTAATGTTTACTCTAGAACTTGAAATTCACCTCACTGCACAAGCCAGCTCCTGCCTTGATTCATTAGCTAATTGAATACTGCGATGACGTTCGAAATGGAAGTTACTGGGTTCGAGTCTGGGAATGAATACCAACTCTGGAATCTAGATACATCCAGCTAACCAGTCCTAAATAGGACGAAACGAGCATCTTAAATTCTACTGATAGCCACCACCCACTACCCTATACAGTTAAGCAATTCATAAAACTTCAGCAAACATGAAGACGGTATACTTTATCTACCTTAAGTGAATAGAATAGTTTCATAATTTGGAATTATGATTTCTATTAGAAGGGGTTTTGTGGAGATTTTTAGAAATTTCAATAGTTGAATTCATGAGTCAATCGAAGCTAGACTACCATGGAAAGCCTAAAAGCACTGGATGGCCGTTCTATCCTATTGTGGGACTCCTCAGCAGTGCGCGTCCACGATCCCACTTCTCGCGAGATTCGAACCCAGGGCATATCAGTCTTGCGCGCGAGCACTTAAACACTAGACCACTGAGCTGGTTATTCAACGGTGTTATTGTCTAACTTCAACCAATCCACGAAGTTGCACCACCGTACACCATCGTCTTCAATGAGTTGATATCTCACAATAGACCTGGTTGAACTCCACTGGTAATGGATGCGCACTGCTGAGGAGCCCAATACTAGAACAAAACGGTCGTCCAGTGCTTTCAGGTTTTCCATGGTGGTCTAGTTTCAATTAATTCATAATTTCAACTATTGAAATTATGATTTCATCAATAGTTCAAACAACTATTGAATCTAATAGGAAACATAAATAATGAGTTAATCAGTTTAATGTTAGACTATTTTGTATATATATATATATATATATATATATATATATATATTACAGAAAGGTTTTATTCCGAAATGACGTAACATGAAAAACAATTATGGTGGGATTTTCATGTTGAAACTAGAGAAAAAAAAACAACCCCATAGAACTACATTACTAATGTCTAGTAAATTAATGTTTCTATCAACAGTGAAAAATAGGATGTACATTTTGTCCTTTATTTAGGACTTCAAATTGGATATATATCTGTATCCTAGTGTTTATTATATAATGAGACTCGAACCCAATACTTAACTAAATATTATATACATGTATACATATATTCGTGATATAATAAATAGTATTGATTTGTTTTTTGTTTTTTGTTGTTTTCAATGAATCAGCACAGTACGTGCTAAAAGCAATTAAAGGAACAAGAAAAAACCACACACATAAACACACAGATACGAATATATTCATTCATTCAAAGGAAGAGAAAGAGAGAGAGAGGGAAAAATTGTTAGCGAGGTGATTAATTATCACCACTCCGGACATAAATATACATAACGGTAACATTAAGATACATGAATATACACAATCACTGGAACAAATTTTATCTTATAATAACAACAAAATGTACAATCTTTAATATACGTTGCAGACATATACCTACCTATCTATCTATCTATCTATCTATCTACCTACCTACCTACCTACTTACCTACCTACCTATATATATATATATATATATATATATATATATATATATATATATATATATATATATATATATATATATATATATATATATATGTAAACGCACACTCAAATACAGACACTTATTAATGATGTACAAGAAGTAAAATAAGTTAATAGAGAGAGGGAGAGAGTCTAGAAACGTGAAAATGAATGTTTTATTTGTTTGTAAATAAAAGAGGCAAATAAACCACAACAAAGTTTGGCTGAACAATAATACGGATATTTTTTTTTTTCTTTATAATATCATAAAAATTTCTACTAGATAATATTTTAGTACAATGGATTATAATGTTTTTGGACTTCATTTGGATTATAGTTACTAGTCCATGTTAACAAGTATTTCAAAAGATGTAATATACCAAATATGCATTTATGTAACTAGTTGTAAGAGACACTTTTATAAGTGAGATTAAATGATATTACATAAGCCCTGTGACGAAATCTAGGTAGAGTGGGATTCGCCCCCAAATGCCCTGGTACGGCCGAGAGTGGGGAGAGTCCGCTCTCCCTCTCCAAATGCTCTCACATGGCCACGCGTACATAGCCCCTGCCAGGGAAGTCCTACTCACTGCCTTCTCGTGGCATGACTGTTGTTTACGAAAATCAGAGGACGAAAAGCGAATGTCCGGCGCTATAACCGGATCCCAAACCAATGGTGCACATGGGCTCCAGTATCCTGCGGGAACAAATGGCGTATGAACCAACTTTTGGTCACCGGCTACCATGGGACTGCATCTCCTCACGATGCTCCACTGCCTTGTGGATCAGACGTTCAGGTCAAAGGCTCAGGGTGTGGCCCCCTAAGAAAACCACCTGCTTCGGTTTGGGCACCCGAGCAGTATCACACCCTCACACAAATCAATTGAGATTCGTGTGGCGCATATGTATTTGGTGCCTCCTTGTACCAATACCTATGTGTTAAAATAAATAAATAAAATAAGGGTGGGATTCGAATCTGAGGTGGAAGTCAAACACCCTAAACACTAAACCACTATTGCATACCAAAGTAAGTGGAGTTGTTACAAAGTAGAAACAGTCGAATGGTTGAAAGTAAGTAAAGAAAGTTACACTTTGAACATGCATTCTTACAAACTGGTAAGCATTAGGTAGAAAATAGATCACTGAATTAGCACATATAAGAAGCCTTCCGCTTTAATCTAATTGTATTTCATACGATTACTATGCCATCGTTTAAATATAACTAATAGCCGGAGTGATGTCAAAAAGATGGATCGAAACTTTGTTAATAATATTGATCTTTGCAACAAAGGAGACAAGTCTTCTGAGGGGATACATTATAATTGAAAAGAACAATAAATTTCTTGAGTAAGTGATACTTCAACATAGGTGCAAAGCAGGCAGATACACAAAACTTGTTATCTATGTAGCCACCAAACTTTGATCAGTGTTATTGACATATTGTAGCGAACGAGAATTCAGGTAAGAATAACTAATTTAGTATTCAATGCAAAATTATAGAGTTCTTCCGTAAAATGTGAAAAACTATACGTTAAATACTTCATTTAAAAATCTTTCATCAATTATCTCAAACTTTATCGTTCCTTCATCGCTATTACAACTATTCTCTGTTTACATTCCCGTTCTCTTCAATTTGATCTTCTCAACCTTCTGCTGCCAGGTATTCCACTTTTGCTTGGTGTTAAATACTACTTATGTCGACGAACATAAGTGAGAAGGTTTGTAACTCAGATGGATGATTTAAGAGTTTTGTTCTCTGAGCTGGATGGTTTGGTTGTGGAGCTTTCATCGACCAAACCATCCAGCTCAACGAACAAAACTCCATCAAAAACAAACATAAGTAGCATACACCACAATATGTACATCCGATGAGGATGTACCTGGATGTAGTCGTTATTAAAAATTTCCACAGAATAGCTTAAACATAGATAACAGTGAAATTTAGGTCGTTTGTCTCGTTTTATATGGGATTTGTAAGCTGCGAGTTATAATCCATTTATAAAATGTGTGACACTGGTAATATCAAAGAGATCCTAACAAAACGCACATCAATCACTACAGATTAATCAAAATTCAGTCTTGAATATAGAAAACGAGACGACTCCAGAACACAACGAAACCAAACTCCTGAATCCTAATACTAACTACAATTCAACTATCATTTAAGAATAAACAGTTATTGAATTGTTTCAAATGATTTTGCACTAATAGCGGTTTGTGATAGGAATTGTCTTTTAATGTCTACAAGTATTATTAGGTGAATGAATAATTTACAAGCTTCTTTATGGTATACGTGGACTGTAACAAAAATTGACGGCCATTGACTGTTCGGGTTCAAAATGATGAACAACTGATCCTTATTTTATTATCCTAATTTGCAATTATAAAAGCCTTTTTCGAAATACATAACATAAACAAAAAGAAAAACCATATGTATTATATAACACTTACTTGATCGTAAAGCTTTCACCGCATCATTCATTCGATCAACATACAATGGATCTTCGCTGTTATCCGCTTCTCGTGTGATTAATTGAAGTACACGATTTGCTCGTCGTGCAATACGTGTTGTAGATTCAACTACACCAGTTGTTGATATTGCAGCAATACTATTTTCTGTTCTGGCCGAATCACGTAACATTCCAATCTCTGTAGTATTCAAAGTAGAAAGTGTAATTTAAATTAAAAAGACTTAAGTTGATGCATATTATATAACAAGTGTGGTACAAATGTAAGCTGAAACATTTAGATGTGGTCGGAAAAGAACTACGGATGTAGATCAATTGACAGGATTCAAACAGCGTTGACGTTATTTATCAATAATTAAGAACCGACTAGTGTATATATCTCGTTTTAGCAGGGTCAAATTCCTTACAGGTAAGGTTTCCGATTCTCGCACTGGTTCATACAAGTGAGTCCGAAAAGAAGTTTCATCATCTCTGAATTAAAGTTACATCTTGTTCAGAAGTGCTGACAAACATCACAACTTAATCAACGGTTTCCTGATGATTATGTTCGATCACCTAGAGTCATAACATCTGTCTCGAGGTTGAGTCATTTATTGTAGTGCTGGCAACACTATTTGATAAATGAGATTCACTTGGGCTCTAAAGATTAAGCAACATGATGTTAAAACTCCGTAAATGACCAGTATCATCCGATGTGCGGTGGACAATTTTGCGCGAGTCGATCTTATTTAGTGGTGCCGAATTAATGATACTATAAGGAATTTGGAATTGATGCAGATATTGTTTTGAAAGAAAAATAATCTATTAATCGATTCGTCACAGATTAGTTTTAGTTGGGATATCAATGGAAACCAAGGAGCACTGAACAGCTGCTTCATCTTAGAACGAAATTCCTTAGCAGTGAATACCCATTACCAAGCCAAAAAATGAACGAAGGACCCTCAAGTTTTGTGGATTTTCAACCATCAGAACTATTGTGATGAATAAAACCTACCAATCAAACTAATTTCAGTAAAAGCCTTTTAAATAAAGAAAAGTAACGATTTAATAGGTACAATCGACTCCTTCAAGGAAACGCTAATTTAGATGCTAACGATGTCAGCTACTTTCATAGGTGACAGGTTATTAAAGCAGATATCTAAAATGCTGGGAATTTTAGTGGATAATACATGTGAATATTCTACCAGGTGGGAGATTTTCCATAATTATCTCTGAGAAAAGTTTTGTGTAAGGGTTACTGATACACTAGTTACCTATTTGCATGGATAGGAAATTTAACAAAGTAGTTAAAGGTTATTGTGTATATGCTATGAAATGCTGCGTGTTAAATGTGAATCGTTTGTCATTCCTTCTATCAATTAAAGGAAAAGTATACTGTGTTATGTTCAACTCTACGGCTGTGAAACATGTTTATTAGGAGTAGAAGATACTCGTAAGCTACTAGTATTTGACCATAGATATCTTAGAAATATTGCTCGCATCTGCAGGGATCATCACCTAAGTAATAGTGAGGTTAGACATAGAGTATTAAAGAACGATGGTAAATCAGTTGATGAGATTGTGAATCTTCATCGACTGAGATAGCTGGGTCACGTGTTGCGTATGCCTGAACTCTGATTACCACAACGCGCAATGCTGATTAGTGATAGAGAAGGTTGAAAGAAAGTTAGAGGCGGCCAGACCAAAACGTCGCATCAGTCCACAAAGTCATTAACTTCTAGTCATGTTGGTAGATGCAGACTACTTGACTGCAGTCCAACAATGGTTGGAGACTGTGTGTGACATGGTTCAGAATCGATCACAATCGAGTAGGTGTATACACTCTCGGTCTTCCCTTAAACAATGTGATAAAAATAACTTCATATCCATCTTTCTAGGGACTAATTCTTTCTTCCTGCATTATATCCTTATACACAACGTTTCTTTTATATATTACTATCATTGAATTAACTACTTGTATGAATTCAGTATTCATCTTGTTGTACTAATAAGGTATGGCTGTTTGGACCGATGTACATATGTGCCTGGTCCCAAGTTGTGACTAACTGACTGACATAAGAAAGTGTCACATCTTATATAAAATATAATGTAGATATAATAAAAAATAAGTTTTCGGTAGATGTTTTAAATAGGATATTTATTAGAACTGTTATTTTATCAAGCTAAGAATATTTGTTTTTGTTTGGTTACAGAAACATTCAAGTGATGAGTAACCAATAGCACAGAATTAAACTTAAATGTTTTTTGTCAATTCCACTCGATCAAGTGATTATCAATAGATACGTATATGTAGTGATTCTGATTACTTTTCAGGTATCTTTTTTTTTAATAAAAACTAATTTGAAATCTAAAAGCACTAAATGGAAGTTTCGTCCTATTATGGGATTCTCAGCAGCGCGCATCATTAGTGACTAGCTTCAAGATGGATTTTCTGGAGTTCCAGTAAAAAGCCGTGACCAGTAGAGTACAACAGTGTCTGTTGTGAGGCAGTTACTCATTGATAACAATAGTGGACGGTTGTAAAATATCATGGATTACTTGAAGTTATACATTGACATCCTTGGATACCGGTTCAGAGGTCTAGAGACTAAGCGTTCGTCCACGAGAGTGAAGGTCCTGGGCTCGAGTCCAGCGTGCGAGATCATGAGTTCGTATTGCTGAGGAGTCTCACAATAGGATGAAACGGTTATCTAGTACTTCTAGGTTTTCCATCATGATCGAACATTGATCCATTCATGATATCAATCTAAACTCAACAATCTTCACAACCCCATACAGAAATACTTATTCTCTAAAAAAGTTAAATCACTGTATACATATTAAATAAATATCAAGTATTATAGCATAGATATGTTTACATCAAATGTAAACATGAATAATAAGGATCAAACAAATACAATGATCTAATGTGAGAAAATTATGCCATGAAAGCTTATTTTCAAAATAAATAAGATTTATATTAGAATAGTCATTTGACTGAGGTGATCTGACGAGAACCGGTGCTTACGACGTGGCATGGTCGCCGGGTAAGTAATAGTGAAGTTAGACTCAGGGTATTGGGGTAATTCAGTTGATGAAGTTGTGAATCTTCATTGACTGAGATGGCTGGGTCACGTGTTGCGTATCCCTGAACACTGTTTGCCACGAGGTGCAATGCTAACTAGTTGGAAGAAATTTAGGGCGGCCAAACCAAAACGTTACATCAGTCCTTCAAGACACTAACTTCTGTTCTGAGCCATGTTGGTAGATGCAGAATACTTGGTTGGGATCTGCGTGACTATCGTAACTAATGGTTGGAGACACTTGGTAACATGGCCCAGAATCGATCACAATAGCGAAGGTGTATACACTTTCTGTCTTCCCTTAAAGTAAGAGATTAAAATCACTTCATATCTTCCTTTCTACGAACCAATTCTTTCTCTCTGTACTATATCCCTACATAAAGTCTTTCTTTTATATATTACTACTATTGAATTAACTACTTCTATGAATTTTGTGTTCATCCTGTTGTGCTAATGAGTGAGATATGGCAACTTGGACCGATGCATATATGTGCCTGGTCATACGTTGAAACTGACTGACGAATCATTTAACTAAATATGAAGAAGTTGAATCGGTTTAAGTTCCAGACTACATGAGTACAATGAAATGGAATTACTAAAATCAAAAATCACAATATCATAATCAGTAGTATCACTGATAGTAATAGAAAAAAAATGATAAGTTATAGGCATTATGTGACTAGAGAAGGAATTAATTCAATGAATAGAAAACAAGATAACATTTGAGCTCAATGTCCAAAATTTATAACTAATAGTAAGTTATATCACTTAACATTCGTCATGATAGTTACTCGGAATCGAATTAGGTAAATGTGATGCTTCGCAGATTGGCTCGGATAAAAAAAATCAACAGTGCCATAATTTGGACATTATCTTATCCTGTCAAAGATCCTGCATCAAAGTAAGTAGTAGTTAAGCATAGGACGAAATGCGTGTTCTAGATTCCACTACTAGTCGTTATTCAGCTTTGCATATAATGTTTGTGAATTGAGGGAATATCAAGGCAATACGCACAGTATACATATATATTAATAAGAGATTGATCAATTACAGTCCTAAATATCAATGGGAAGATTCAAACAAACAATACTAAGTGAATTCCAACTTCATCCCATTGCACAAGGCAAGTGGCTATCAGGACTCAGTAGCTAAGTGGATAACGCCATGGAGTTTGAAGTGAACGCTCCTACAGAAAACATCAACTTTGAGATACAGATAGATACAGCTGACCAGTCCCAAATAGGACGAAAAATGCGTTGTCCTAGATTTGACTGCTAACCACTATATATCTTTGAATAGTAGTTAGGCATACCTTTGTATATATCTTAACTACCTCCGGCTTGAAGCTATCACGAGTCCACTTAATCTGCGAACGAGAAACAAGACTCGGTGACCAAAGACCAGTAAGCTAGCTGTTAATGCGTACCAGCCCCGCTATCTAGAGGGAGAAGTTCAAGCTTAGAATGGGAAGTATATTCTGCAACAGCCAGAAAACGAGTGATTCCCAAACACAATTTAAAAACGTATATATACAAATATACATAATCGATATTGCCATGGAGCTTTTAAACATTTAATTGATAACTTCGTCAATCGACTATATGCGTGGGTGATAAGAAATGCCCACACATACATCTGCATACAAACTCCACAAAGATAAAATTACAAAATATGAGTGTTGGGGACGATAGACCCCCAACACTCCCCCATTTTTAATAGCGTACTTTCCTGGGGTCGACTTGCATCTTGACTGTTGTTCGCCGCAGTCGGGGAGGCCACCTTCTGGAACGGAGATCAGCTTCTTGTTGAGCTCCTTCTCGTGGTGGGGCTGCTGGTAAGTTGAAGGTATCAAGCAGAATATTAAGGGGAAGATTTACTACTGTTGATGGGCGGTCTGGGGCTATCCGCTTCCGTAGTTGGTTTCGGTGTCTAGTCCCTGTCTTTTCCCACCTTTACCTCGTACATAACTTGGCCTAATCTTCCAACCACACGTGCTTTGATCCAAGGACCATGATTTGCTCTGTAGTCTCGAGCGAACACCCGGCACCCAACCTCGTACGTTGGCAGCTTCTGAGATCTGGTCTGAAATGGTGGTGGTGGTGTGGTTCTTGGGCACATC